GCCTAAATTGGAGGTGAGCAAATACAGTACCAAATATGGGGCAATTTTTACTGAGCAGCACTTCAAGCAGGCCTGTGGCCCACCTTTTCTGTTGGGTCATGGAAGCAGGCCCACCTGTTGGGGTGCAACCCAGAAAGGCAGGTTGGTCTGGTGTACAAAATATAGATTTCCAACCTCTGTTGTGGATTGAAAGCCCAGTGAGGATATCTTCAGTTGTTGATCCATACATCCACCCCACCTACACAGAAAAAAACAAAAACAAAAAAAACATTTTGGACTCGTTGTGTTTTAAATTTCATTAGACTAAAAGCTAGTTGGTATTTAAAAGTGAAAAAAATATGAGCAGAGAATCCGAATTTCACACCGGCATACCTTTCTACCCCAATTGGTGCCATATTCGTATTCACAACTTGCAACTTGGTATGCAGCAGCGTCAATAGATTTCAAAAGCAAGCTTGGACATTTTGTCTCCCCTCTCAAAGCATCAGCAGCTGATTTGGTGAGTTCCTTTGAATTTCCAAAGGTTTTAAGTAATTCTTGGTTGCCTAATTTTCCTGCCACAAATAAACAACCTAAGAGATATATATATACACACACACACATGGAATGGAAGAAGGATTGGATATTTGATTTGGTTACCATTATTAGGGGACAGACCATAGATGACTTGTCTTCTGTGAAAACATCCTGTTCCAGCATAAAATATTCCCTGGATTCCTTGAATCCCATGCCCCATGTACTATAAAAAAAAGAAAAAAAAAGGTAGTTCATCGTTAGTAAATAATTAGAATTAACCAGTAATTAATTAGTGATTAAGATACTAAACTAATTAGCATTTTGCTTTAAGCTGTACCTTCCAAATGACTGCCATCTGATTTCCAAAAGGGTCGTCCTTGAGCCCGTCATAGAAGATTTGTGGAAATTGAGCAAATGCAATTTCATTTTGGTTCTCATTGGATCCAAGCAGTATGCACATTGCATGAAGAACAACGCTTGGGTTGTTTGCAAACATGTCGCAGTCTACGTTCAGCATGAAGGGGGCATTTGTCATTAACCCAGACACTCTGGTCTGCACCAACATATATATATATATATATATATTTAATCAATTAATTAGTTAAAAAGATAATTAATTAATTAATTAATTAAGATGATGAGAAATATATGAAATAATTCATACCAAAACATTCATGGCCCCGGCTTTGGAATGATGTGGATGTTTTGGCCGCTTTTCTCTGGATATATAAACCAAATGGGGCAGTCCATTTGAATGACCTTCCTCCTTGTCCAGCACCACCTTCAAAAATAAATTAAAAAAATCTAGCCAATGAGCTTCTAATTAAGCTGGTTTTAGAGTGCTTAATTTTTTTCTTTTTTTTGCGAAACAGTAGAGATCCAATTGAAATTAAGGGAAAAACTCAGAATTCATCAGTAAGAATACAGCCCTATATCGAGGTTCTTGCAATGCATAAACTGTAAAATCATAACCAACTATGCACAAGTATTACAAGACGGTGAGAACAAATATACGTCTTGAATCCCAGTTCACATGAAATTACAGATGAGGAAGACCCATATTCCTACAATGACCGGTATTTCAAGAAAATGAAGATAAAAAACAATCTCTTAAACATCATGGACAGAAAACACCCCAAAAGTGGAGTGCTTAATTTGTTAATTATTTTTCATGGGCTAATTATAATTAATGCTTGTTTTTGGTGGAGAGTAAAAATAACCAGTCAAATTGGTTCATGTAAGTCTTTTTGCTCTAGGACAAAACCGTACTGTATGGCTGGGGTCAGGTCAGGTTTTTTGGCTCTAGGACATTCACATTGAAATCTTATCCCGTTTCATTGAAATCTATTCACATTGAAATCTTATCCAGTTTCATTGAAATCTATTCACATTGAAATAACCAGTCAAATAATATTATCCCGTTTCATTGAAATCTTTCTTCCAACTAAAAGGTAGGTTTGAGAAGACAACTTTAAGAGAGGCTGAGAAGTGAATAATTGAGACTGCGAATCTGTCTGTACGAGTCAGTGTTTACAGTGCTTACCTTAATTATTGTTGGATGATTATTGCGTTCTATATTTGAGAAAAGTGAAAAATCTTCGCTAAGATCAAATGGAATATCCTCAATTTTGCGGTTAAGCTGCAGATATTCATCCTACAAAACATGAAAACAAGAACATTTGTCATCGCAGATTACACTATTAGACCGGTTTATATATGAATGTTTGCAATGTAGAAATGTTCAAACCCTCGATATTGGATGTTCAAAACTACTGTGTACATAATGCTGCTGAGGGTTTGAAACGCGCTACAGTCTACATTGCAAACATTTGCACTTGAATATTTTTAACAAAATATTTGGTATATTTTTCAAAATAAAAAATAAAAGACTGCACTATCACCTTCATCGTTTTCCATTCTTGCTTGAATTCCCCTGCGTTCTTACTGGAAGGTATGGCAGCATTATTGAAGTATCTGAAAGGAGCTCTAACTTGAACATTGTACTTTTTGCAAAATGGAACCCAAAGCTTGGCAAACTTTGATGCTTCCACAAGCGAGTAGAAGGTGAGAGGAGAACAACCATCATCCGACACATAGCAAGCTAGTTTGTCTGTTGGGTAATCCACAGCCAACAGAGAAAGCACAGTGTTTATGGTAATGATAGGTGGTTCCAGCTCTGAGTCTGCTGTGGTCACAAACATGTCCACTGGGGGAAGCTCATGCTCAGCCACCCTACACATATATAACACAAAACAAAAGTTATGATATCCAAGTTACGAAAAATGTTGTTTTATTAGACTGTCTGATAACATAAGATATATGTTACAAGATTGGCTGATCACAACTTAAGATGTTTATGTTCTCAGTCAAACTGTGAATCTGAACCACAAAATGAGATGTGAAATGGTATTACCGTTGTAAGAGACGGTCGGGGTATGTTTTATATTCCACAAAACTCCATTTGTTGCTGATGGTGATTACCCAGTAGAGTGTAAACCAGAGCTCACACAGGAATGCAACGAGCCAAGCAAAACCATGGTTGCTAAAAGAGAGGAGACGATAAACGAGGAGTGAAAGGAGGAGGAACAAGATTATAAACTCCATGACTTTGTGCATGGTGTTTTTGTGCTCCAACCTTTCATAGAGAGGGGAAGAGTTTGAGTTGGCCATTGGAATGTAACCTAATGCAGTGAGGTGAGGGTGTTTGAGTTTTCTGCAGCCTCAACGCTTATTTTGCTGGTGAGTATTTATAGTCGTGCAGTAGGTCTAATTTGTGCTTGCTTGTTTATTCTAAACATGTATATAATCAGTCTCAACACCTGATTATATTCTGATGTGGTGAAAAGTTTCATTTTGCTACTTCTTCCCCATAAAACAATCATAAAATAAGAATTGCAGAATAAATTACTAATTAATTTGATGCCATGTCTTTTCCTTCTCTTTTCTCTCAAGTCATGATGGATGACTGCATATGCTGACTCTGAGTACGAGGCTCTGCGCCAGCCTAAAGAGTGGTGATTTTCTCACTCCTTTTTCTCATATTTTATCCACTTACACTCTTTTTTTAATATAAAAAAGGAGTGTAAGTGGATAAAATAGGAGTGGGGAAATCATTACCCTAAAAAAATGATAAAGATATATAACCACTACCAATGTCCTAATTTAAAGTCTGAAATGGACCTTCCATGAAAAAAAATAATAAAGGAATGCTTTCCATATTTATCCATCTGAGCAACAAGAGATAAATAAGATGACTGATAATGGCCCGATAAACTGAGAAATTAAGCATGCCCTTTACCTAATTATCTACTTAATTAATTTGTCTTTACCCATCTTGGATAACTCTAGCCAACCTGTGAGGTTGGCTGGATTCTCAGTGTTCATGTTCTGACTTCTGACATGAAAAATAGATAGAGACTGATGAGAATTGCAGTGATTGATCACAAGGGAAGATATATACAGATATTGGGGAGATGAGATATATAAAATTATAAATTTACTAACAGATAAATATTATCTGTCTTCCATTTCCAACTTTTGCTGCGAAATGCAGAGATGGAGTTGGAGCTTTCGAATGCGATCAACAGTTTTATGCAAATCCAATAAGATTTTTGTTCTGCCACTCCCACTCTCTTTGTTTTAAAACTTAAATTTACTTTTTTTTAATTTCAGACTATATAATAAAAGTGTGTAGCAGACCAGAGGGAGAGCCCGACGTCAGTCCTGACGTCATGTTTGAAAGAAGAGAGCGTACTTGATTTGAGCTCTGCAAATGCCTAACTGTACGTATCATTACATTATTGGTATGAAGAAATTATTGGTATATGATTGTAGCGTGTGAGATATGTAAGGGTAAGGGCTATTATTATTCATGTGAATAGTAATAGTCATTGTAAAAGACTTGTTGTGTTTTCACCTATTGCCATGACGACCTAAGAGCAACTACTATTCACATGAGATATGATGAGAAGAATTTGTATAGAGTTTTAGTGTGAAAAGTGAAGAATTTGACTAAGTATTTATTAAAAAGAATTATGAAATTCTTAGTTTTTTTTCTTCTATTTTTTCAAATTTTTTTCGTTGCTGATGTCAACAAACCCAAGCAACAGCTCATATTATTTTTGTCTTCGTGCCTGCTCAGGCTTCTGGAGCCCACCAGTTGCCCGAACGGCATTTGCGAGCTGGAACCTCTGCCTGGGGCTTGGGGCCCCTCCTGCTCGGGCAACAGCCTTCTGGAAGTGCTCTTACATTTTGATCCAATTATATAACGTACTGAATATGCTATACAGGTAATTTGTATTGCCATTTTATAAGCCGAGTATTTTTAGAATGACATTATTGTTTGTGTCCTAAATTTATTTATCACGTTTTTTGTCATCAGAAAATGTGATGGAAGAGTGTCATGATGGACCATAGAATTGGTGCACCAAAAACACTTCGGGAAGAATCATGAACCGAGCAGCAATTAGGAACATCTAACACACTTCCAATAAACAGCACCATCTCCAACTGGTTTCTCTTTCAACTCAGAGATTCTCAGTGCCCACACCACTCTCAGTGACTTCGATTAACATCTTCAACTGTGTCATTTCCCTTCACTTACACAATGAGATTTTAAAAAACCCTAGCAAAATTTGGGGTTCAAAGAGGGCTTAGAAAGGATGAGATGGTAGCCACATATTTGTGCACAAAGTGTAGAACAGTAATGTGAAACCAGCAGACTTGAGTATGGTGGATAAGGGAATCCCATATTTCCCAGCACCAAACAGCCCTTTCAAAAATGGCCACAGGCACAGCACCAACCACACACTGCACACAACCTCTAACGGGCCTGACCCGAGCCCATCATGAGCTGGTGGTTGCAGCCCAAACAAAGCAGTAGCCAGGGCTGTTAACTGCACCAGCAAAATTGTAGTGGGAGGCACAAAAATTGGGGACTTGTCAAATGTGAATGTGCCTGCTTCAGTTCCTTCATCAGTTGAAGTAGATTGGTCTTTTCTTGTGACTTCAAACACTGTCTCTGATCTGCCTGAGAGTTTGCAGAGTTTGAGTATGACACCAATAACTCCAAATAACCAAGCACTCATTGGGGTTATTCTTCCCATTCTTTGGTTGTTCCACCATGCCCGGATTGATAGACCGGTTTGAAGATACTCCGATAAAGTGTACACATGGTAAAGCACAAACAGAGCTATTGGTATATAGTAGGTTGGTTCCTGGCCCTGCATTGCACATTTGGAGCAGTTAGAAAGAATAGCTGTGTTAAAAATAATAGTATAACACTAACATCTTGTAAATTTGTACCCGAATAATGTGACAATGCAGATAGTAACGTTTTACTTGATTCACAAAGTGGGCTCATATTTCAGTTATTTGATGAACAAAATTGATGATCTATGTAGTATGTAGCATATACTTAACTTGCATCAACCCTAAAGTCCAAGGATGTGGGTGTGCTCTCACCTTGGGCAAGAAATGTGTGTTGGTGATGATACTGTAAGCTGGCAGCGCAGCATAGCATAGCTCAGGAACAGAGCGTAGGGCCCAAGAAAAGACCCAGAAGTACGCTAAGAACATCCTAAATTTGAGGTTTGCAAATATAGTATGAAATACGGGACAATTTTTACTGAGCAGGATTTCAAGCAGGCCTGTGGCCCACCTCTTCTGTTGGGTCATGGAAGCAGGCCCACCAGTTGGAGCACACCCTTGAAAAGCTGGTGGGTCTGGTGAACAAATAATAGATCTCCAACCTCTCTTATGGATTGAAAGCCCAGTGAGGATATCTTCTGTTGTTGATCCATACATCCACCCCACCTGCACAAGAAAAGAGATCAACAAAAACATAGACAAAATAGAAAAAGGAACTTGCAACTTTGAAAACACACTGTCACTTAATCTTAGGGAAACTCTTAAAAACACACTCGAGATCGGGAGGGGTATTCGAAGCAGGATCTTAAGTGTACAGATAATTGCTTTTAATCACTTGAGTTACAAATCTCTTGCTTATTCTGACTTTTTAAATCCCAACTAATATGACAAAAATATAAGCGGACTGACATACCTTTTTACCCCAATTGGTGCCATACTCGTACCCACAATCTCCAACTTGGTGTGCAGCCTCCATGGATTTTGAAAGCATGTCCGGATATTCTGTCTTTCCTTGCAAAGCATCATCTACTGATTTGGTGAATTCTTTTGAATTTCCAAAAGTTTTAAGCAAATCTAGTTTTCCTCGCAAGAAAACTTAAAAAATTAGGATCACGCATTCGTCGAGCTTATACTCTTACTAACAAAACAAAATTAAGAGACATCTGGGGATGGAGGGAGGGATTTGATTTACCATTAGTCATCTTGACATCATTTGGAGAGAGACCATAGATAACTTTTCGTCTATGAACACATCCTGTTCCTAAATAAAAAGGGCCTTGAATTCCTGATATTCCACGCCCGGCATACTACCATATAGTAACAAATATATTGATTAGTTCCCCAATGTAAATCATACTCTTCATAAATTTTGATTTATGGACCGTCATATACTTTTTGATATGAATTAAATTTGCATGAGATGCACCTTCCACAAAACTGTCATCTGATTGCCAAACGGGTCATCCTTGAGTCCGTCGTAGAAGGTTTGTGGGAATTGAACAAATGCATTTTCCGTTTCGTTCTTGGATCCCAGCAACATGCACATTGCATGAAACATCATGTTTGGGTTGTTGACCAACATGTCACAGTCTACGTTCAGCATGAAGGGAGCATTTCTCATCAACCCTGACACTCTAGTCTACACAACATGTATAATTGATCAAAAATTAATTAATTTCGTTAAGATTACTCAAAACAGATGGAATATATTACTTATAAGACGATGATGTCTCGAAATCATTATCACTAACAAAACATATTGACATGTTATCGATAAATATTTGATGTGCATATTGACATTTTGGTTTCTATATATGAAATTGATTATACCAAAACATTCATGGCCCCGGCTTTGGAATGATGTGGATGCTTTGGCCGCTTTTCTCTGGATATATAAACCAAATGTGGCAGTCCATTTGAAGCACCTACCTTGTTCTCCCATACAACCTTCGGAACAATTGGAAAAAAAAAAAAAAAAAAAAAAAATCTAATCAGTCATCGATTAATAAAGTGAATAATGACTTGTTTTTTTCTGTCTAGCTTCTCTTCCTTACTGTTTCCTCTACCTCTCCAAACCCTATTAGCCGAAAAAATAATACCAAAACCAAAACTATACTAAGCTGACTCTAATTGTGTTAAATTTCAGGACAACAAAACCAAGATATTTGTGTGTGTGTCTGTCTCTGTAAAGTTGCATTTGAGAAAAGCCACCATATATACAGAGGCAAAAGGAGCAGACAATCCAGCAATTCTTAGCTGTATACCTTGATGATTGTTGGATGATTATTGCCCTCTATATCTGAGAAAACTGCAAAGTCTCCGCTAAGATCAAATGGAATAGATTTGCCCACCGCATACTCAACTTTGCGGCTAAGCTGCTCATACTCATCCTGCAAATTACACATGAAGACAAACAAGTTCATTTGTCATCATCTGGTGGAAATTTGTGTTCTTGTGTTAGACAGTCTGACAATATAAGATGTTTTTTTTTTCTTTTTCTGACAACATAAGTATGATCAAATTTGGCTAAAAGAGTATAATTAACCACCTTCAGTGTTTTCCATTCTCGCTTGAATTCGTTTGATTTATTTCCAGTAAACATGGTATTATTATTGGAGAAGTATCTAAAAGGAGCTCTAACTTGAACATCGTACTTCTTGCAAAATGGAACCCAAAGCTTGGCAAACTTTGATGCTTCCACAAGCGAGTAGAAGGTGAGAGGGGAACAACCATCATCAGACACATAGCAAGCTAGTTTGTCTGCTGGGTAATCCAAAGCCAACAGAGAAAGCACAGTGTTTATGGTAATAATAGGTGGTTCCAGCTCTGGGTCTGCTGTGGTCACAAACATGTCCACTGGGGGAAGTTCATGCTCAGCCACCCTAATCATTAAAAGCACATGATTAAACATCAAAGTGAAGAAATTATTGAACTAATAAATGGACACTAAAAAAAAAGGGATGTGCATACATGGTCGGTGTTACATACCGTTGTAAGAGGCGGTCTGGGTATGTTTTGTATTCAACAATATTCCATTTGTTGCTGATGGTGATGATCCAGTTGAAGGTAAAGGAGAGCTCACATAGAAATGCAATAAGCCAAGTGAAACCATTGTTGTTGAAAGAGAGGAGACGATAAACAAGGAGTGAGAGGAGGAGGAAGAGGATTATAAACTCCATGACTTTGTGCAAAGTGTTTTTGTGCTCGAATCTTTCATGTAGAGGGAGAGAGTTTGGGTTAGCCATTGCAAAGATGAGAAGAAAGTGAGGGTGTTTTGGCCGCCTAGCTAGCTCAGTGTTTATATGTAGCCACGTACATATACTTATAGTGTGGTCTAGTTGGCTTTGCATGTTTGCTTGGTTTTTTGAGTACACGTGGCATAGGACTATTTTCTATTACATATTGTATGAAAAACCGGGAGCTTTTGGTTTATATTAGAATGTGATAATCCAACTCAAACACGTAGTAATTTCATTTTGGTCTCTCCCTTCCTTTCTTCCAAAGGAAAAAATAAACAAAATGTTGAATTGTGTGACATGTTTCAAGTTATGATTGAACAATATCACATTGCCATAGCATGTGGTGTGCCGGCTACAAATTCGTTTTGGCAATTAACCATTTGCATATTCTTGAGGCATGCTTCAAATATGTTCCGTGATCACATGAATCCAAACAGAAAGATACACGGCAAGGTTGCCATATATATCATTCTAGAGAACAATGGTATCCAATTATTTGGGTGGATGACCACCATACGACTTAAGAGTCCAAATGAAACAAACCCATCACGAAAAGGAAAGAAGCAGAAAAACGAAATATAATTTCACTCTCCTTTTGGACCATTTGGACCATTTGGACCATTTGATTCTAATTTTTATTTTAATTACCTTTGAACTTTTGGGCAACTGCAGAAGATGACTGATTTCTCACACTTCTAATACAAATAAAACGAAATCTTGAAAGTGGATGTCTTTTCTGTGGGGATTGTGTGGATGAAAACTCCTCTTATCAGCCAGTTCATGTAAATTCCAAGTATACTCTTGTGTACTTCTAAATCATAAAGATTATGCTATGCAGCTATGAATTCCAATTTACATCAATTACACTGTAGGCGGGAATTTTCCGAATTCCAGCATGCACCATTGCTTGCCTCACAGCAGCAGCACGATCCCATCTCTCTGTCCCAGCATTAATGCTTGACAAAACCACGTATCGTCCACAATGTTGTGGCTGCAACTCAAGCAGTTTCTGCCCAACTTCATTTCCCAGTCCGGCGGTCCCATGAATATTACAAGAACCCAAAAGAGCCCCCAATACAGAAGCATCAGGCTCAAAAGGCATGCTCTTGATAAGCTCAGTTGCCTCCAAAAATAGGCCTGCTCTGCCCAGGAGGTCAACCACACACCCGTAGTGTTCCATTATCGGTTCAACCCCAAAGTCATTGGACATTGATCTAAACAACTCCAGACCAAAATTCACCAGCTTTCCACGAGCACAAGCTGTAAGAACTGCGACAAATGTAACTGCAGTAGGCTGCAACCTTTCTCTCTTCATTTTTTCAAACGAGTCCAAAGCCTCCCGCTCCTTACCATTCAAAGACAGAGCTGAAATCATTGCATTCCAAGTACAAACTTCTGTGACTACCATCTTCTTGAAAACATTTGCGGCACTTCTAACATAACCCATCTTCCCATAAAGATCTATCAATGCAGTCCCCAGAAATGCAGTCAATTCAATCTCTTTTCTAATAACATACCCGTGTATTTGCTTTCCCCAATAAAGAGATCCCCACCCACCCAAATTAGCACATGAAGAAAGAACAGTAACATAAGTAGCTTCATTTGGCTTTACAAAACAACCCATCAAATCCTCATGCACCATCATCTTAAAAAACTGAATCCCCTCACTGAAACTCCCATTTCTCCCGAACCCATTAATAACACTTGTCCACGAAACCACGTCCTTCTTGGACATGCTGTGAAAGAGGGAAACAGCCGAACCCATATCCCCATTCTTCCCAAACCCATCAATCATCGCATTGTACGATACAACACACGCTTCAGCAATTTCCTCAAACACCTTGCGAGCATCAAACAAAATACCAAACTGAGCATAGAAGCTAACAAGCGAGGTTTGTATAAATGGGTCATGCAGAACGCCCCGTTTCACAACTTGGGTATGAAGGGGCGCGCCCAAATTGGGGGAGGAGGAGGCAGAGGCGGCTTTGATAAGCGGAGGGAAGGTGTGGCTGTTGGGCGGGGCTTGGTGGGCAAGCATGTGGGTGAAGAGGAGGTAAGGCTTGTGGGCTTGGCTGAAACCGAGATGGGCTCTGATCAAAGTGTTGTAAAGGAGGGTCGTCATCCATTTTGAAGCTGAGCTAGGGTTTGGGCTGTGGAGGAGATGACCGTGGGAGATAAGGCGGGAATGGATTTGGTTGATTTGGTTTGGGTGTTTGAGGAAGCGTTGGAGGAGTTGCAGTAAACACTCGGGAGATGACGAACGTGGCATAAGACCAATTCGTGTGTTGCATGTGACTTTTGCATCTGTGTCAAAAAGCAACCCAAATGTACAAAACGACGTCGTGGTGGCATTTCTTCGTCTCTATAATAATTACAGCTGTTTCGTTTTTGTTGGGTGAAATTTCAGTGGAGAATGTTGGCATGGGCTGCTCTTAATCTGAGATCATCATCAGCTTCCAGAACCTTCTCCAAAGCTCTCCCAAACTCCACCGCCGCTCCTTTCTCACTCGTACGGACTCTCTCTCGCTTCTCAGTCCGCTCTATGGCCGACTCTGCTGCTGCCCCATTCAAGAAAATACAAATCCACAGAGGTGATACTGTGAGTCTTGCTTCTGCCCCATTTAGTCTTTTGCTTTTCTTTTCTTTCTTTTTTTCGAAATTCTGGTATTGGGTTTCTTTTTTCTTTCAGTAGAGGCTGTATGATTTTTTCTTTTGACAATTTTGACTGATGGTAAAAGGGAATTTGATGTTTTTGAATGTATAGGCAGGAAATGAGGTGGGGTTTGTGTCGTTTTGTTAGATTTCTATGTTCGAGTGAATTGGAACTATTTCCATTTATGAAATTAATGTGATTGTGGTGGAATTGTTTATTTCATTTTAAAGAATCGTACTTTATTTTTTTCTAATATGATCGGGCCTGGATTGATTATAAAATAAATTTTAAAAAATTGCCCATGTTGTGGCCTCTCGGAAAGTTGTGCATCAACTCTTTTGAGGCTTGTGCGTTCATTATCATATCTATGGTTTGTTGGTGATGTTGGCAAATGGGTAACATCCAGGCTACCTTCTCTTCATGCTCTCCAACTTTGTTCTTAGATTTCACATGTCTCTCACTTTTGTTCTATTGACACATTTAAGCACACTAAGTCGTACTGCTGAACTGCAACTATGAAGTTGATTGTCTTGACATATTGTATTTAGAAACCATTTCATTCTTTCGTTGCAAATGAACTGAACTTTTTAATTGAATTGTTCGTGATAATACGTTTTTGTGGTTACTAGCTGCCACTAAAACTTGTTTCTGATTGTTCTTCTTCTTTTATCTAATTGACCAGGCATTTGATGCATATGTTGTTGGAAAAGAAGATGCTCCTGGGATTGTTGTACTTCAAGAGTGGTGGGGTGTGGATTTTGAAATCAAGAACCATGCTATGAAAATTTCTCAACTGGCTCCTGGTTTCAAAGCACTTATCCCAGAGTAAATTCATTAAGCGTACTTTAGTATCTATTAGTACTATGTGTATGCTTATTTAATTACTTGCTGCGTTTGAATGCTAAGTATCTTCTTGCTTAATTTTTCTAGCTTGTATCGGGGAAAGGTTGGTTTGGATGTTGCAGAAGCACAACATTTGATGGATGGTCTTGATTGGCAAGGTGCTGTAAAGGATATCCAAGCTTCTGCTAATTGGCTGAAAGCAAATGGTTCAAAGAAGGTGTGACGCGGTTTACTTCTTGTTTAATTATATAATAATTGTCTAAGTAGCTATAATTGGTCTGGGGTCTGGTTTGTCTTATGGTGTATATATGTTATGGAAATATGAAAAAACAAAACGGGAAATACACGAAACAAGGTGTTGACTAATATAGATAAACTTTAAACGGACACTGCCAACCAGCTAACTAACAGAAAAAGTACATTACATATCTAAGCTTAGTTATATCTTAATCACCAATGATGCCTTATTCCTTCTGATATGTTTGTCCATTTTTTATGATCTCTTTGAGACATTCAATCTTAAGCCTTGTGATGCCTAACTTTATCATACAACAAAAATCGTCACAGAACAGTTGGATGATTGTTATGTCATATTGAACAGACAGGTAAGTCAGTGCTAAAATTGGAAGTTGATCTTTCTTTTTCTCTATTAAGTGCTATAAATATTCAGGATGAGAATAACCAATGTAATGCATGACCAGAAACTGCTTTGAAATGTCATGATCCACAAAATATAGTAAGATTCTGCTGTGTTCTGATAGCCAGTCCTCCTTCGAAGTTCGCATCACTAAAAATTATGGTTATATCAATCAGTTATGATATGAAGAAGTTTAGAAAGTAAAATCATTTGCTAAATTAACCTATTGTTTAATCAAAATAGGTTGGTGTTACTGGATTTTGCTTGGGGGGTGCTCTCTCAATTGCAAGTTCTGTTTTGGTCCCTGAGGTTGATGCTGTTGTTGCATTTTACGGAGTACCGTCATCAGAGCTTGCAGACCCTGCCAAAGCTAAGGCTCCTGTTCAGGCTCATTTTGGAGAGCTTGATAATTATGTTGGCTTCTCAGATGTGGGGGTATTGATTTTTCTTTTTCTATCTTTCAGTCTTGATTATTTTTGGTTACCTTTCTTTATTTTTTTCTGAATTTCTTTTTCTGGACTGAGTTGTTGACGCCTTATGATTGTGTATAATTGACGTAGCAAAATTCTAGGCCCATTCATGTTCTGGAACCCCCATTGGATCCTTGTTAGACCTTAGCCTTCAAATTTATGAAAAAAAAATTACTCATGCTGAAATTGGATTTTGATTTTCAGGCTGCCAAGTCTTTGGAAGAAAAGCTGAAAGCATCAGGAATCCTGTATGAGGTGCACATTTATCCAGGCAATGGGCATGCCTTCATGAATAGATCTCAAGAAGGTGTGAAGAGGAGGAAGAACATGGGCCTGCCTGATGAGGATGAAGCTGCAGTTCAGCTGGCTTGGTCTCGCTTCGAGTCGTGGATGACTCGTTATCTGTCTGCTTAAGTTGTAC